AAGGTCAGCTCAGAGGGAGGAAGGGAAAGGGACCAGGAAAGGCCTCCTATAGGAGGTCAGAATCGAGCTGTTTTGAAGGAAAGCCAGAATTTTAAGTGGCAAAAGTGAGAAAGGAGAACACTGAAGGCAGATGGACAGGTACTGCAAAGGCACAGAGATGAGAGATGTCCTGAATGTGCGATATAGCAAATAGGTTAGTTTAGCTATACTGAGTGCATGGAGGGAGGTACTAAAGAGGAAAGCAATTAGAGAGTAGATTGTTAATTTTCAGCATGAACATTTATACCTTGCACATCCCCAGTGCTACACATTTGGGTTTGATTGATTATTTTATTGATTTCTGGATTTAAGAAACTGATGAAGAAAATGTTAATGCAGATTAAACTTTAAAGTGTGTTGTGGGAACATTATTTTTCCTTCCAGAGAGCTGGTTGTTAAATATTTACTACTTTATTTGCTTTTTTATTTATTAACATATTTACTATGTTAAATATTCACTGGGAAAGGACCAGTTTTAAGTTTTAAAGAATTTTTTTTTAAGTAGTGCTATTGCTGGATCAAAGGTGTGCACAGCTTTATAGCCTTTTGGGCACAGTTCCAAGTTGCTCTTCAGGATGTTTTCACAACTCCACCAACAATGCATTAGTGTCCCAATTTTTCCACATCCTCTCCAACATTTATCATTTTCCTTTTCTGCTATATTAGCCCATCTGACTGGTATGAGGTGGTACCTCAAAGTTGATTTAATATGCATTTCTCTAATCAACAGTGATTTAGAAAATTTTTCATACTATTTATCATTTTAAGGGAAGCTCCATTTATTCCTCTGCTTTCCCAGTGTTTTTAATAGGCATGAGTGTGGCATTTTGTCTAAAGCTTTTTCTACATCTATTGAGATAATCACATGACTTTTGTTGGGTTTGATATTGATATGATCAATCATGCTGATAGTTTTCCTAATATTGAACAGCCCTAGGTTCCTTGTATAAATCCTACCTGGTCATAATCTATGATCTTTGTGATATATTGCTGTAATCTCCTTGCTAGTATTTTATTTAACATTTTTGCATCAATATTCATTAGGGAAATTGGCCTATAATTTTCTTTCTCTGTTTTGGCTCTTTCTGGTTTAGGTATCAGCACCATATCTGTGTCATAAAAGGAACTGGGTAGAACTGCTTCTTTGCCTATTTTTCCAAATAGTTTATATTGTACTACAATCAATTGTTTTTTAAATGTTTGGTAGAATTCACTTGTCAATCCATTTGGTCTGGGAGATTTTTTCTTAGGGAGTCATTGATGGCTGGTTCAATTCTTTTTCTATGATAGGGTTACTTAATTTCCCAAGATATAATTATTCTATTTCTTCTTCTGTTAATCTAGGCAATGTATATTTTTGTAAATATTCATTCAATTCAGATTTGTCATCCATGTAGATTGTCAGATTCACTGACATATAATTAATAAAAATAACTACTAATAATTGCTTTAATTTCATCTTCATTGGTAGTGAATTTATCTTTTTCATTTTTGATACTGGTAATTTGGTTTTCTTCTTTTTTAATCAAAGTGACCAATGATTTATCTATTTTATTGGTGTTTTCATAAAAACCAGTTCCTAGTTTTATTTATTAGTTCAATAGTTTTCTTATTCTCAATTGTATTAATCTTTCCTTTCATTTTTATGATTTCCAATTTACTGTTTAATTGCAAATTTTTGATTTGTTCTTTTTCTAGTTTTTTTTAATTGCATGCCCAATTCATTGATCTGCTCCTCCTCTGTTTTACTGATATAAGCATTGAGAGATATAAAATTTCCCCTAAATACTGCTTTGGCTGAATCCTATAAATTTTTGTATGTTGTCTCATTTTTGCCATTCTCTTTAATGAAATAATTGATTGTTTCCGTAACTTGTTCTCTGACCCACTCGTTCTTTAGGATTAGATTACTTAGTTTCCAATTAATTTATAATCTATCTTTCTACTGCCCTTTACTGAATGTAATTTTATTGCATTGTAGTATAAAAGGATACATTTAATATTTCTACTTTTCTGTATTTGGGTGTGGGGTTTTTAGGCCTCATTGCAGACAATTTTTGTGAAGATGCCAAGTACAGTTAAGAAAAAAAAGGATATTCCTTTCTATTTTCATTGAATTTTCTTTGGAGGTCTATAATATCTAATTTTTATAAATTCTATTCATCTCCTTTCCTTCTTCCTTATTTTGTTTGTGGTTAGATTTATCTTTTTCTGAGAAAGGAACGTTGAAGTCTCCCTGTAGCTTAGTTTTACTCTGTATTTCCTCCTGTTACTCATTTAACTTTTCTTTTAAGAAGTTCGATTCTATGTCATTTAGTATATACATATACATAGTATTGATGTTACTTCATTTCCTATGGTACCCCAGCTAGCAAAATGTCATTTCCCTGCCTATCTCTTTTAATTAGATCTTTTTTTTTTTGCTTTTGCATTGTCTGAGATTATGATTGTTACAACTGTCTTTTTTTATCTCAGCTGAAGCATAGAAGAGTCTCCTCCAGCCCTTTATTTTCACTCTGTGTGTCTTTCTCTCCTTCAAATGTGTTTCTTGTAGTTTCTAATGCATTCTGCTATCCACTTCCATTTTATCCACTAAAACCTAGAACTGTGTATGAGCAATTCAACAGCTCCGTGCACCCAGCACCAGCAAAGGGTCCCCTGTAATCTCTTTCTGACCAGATGTCCCAACACCCTTACCATTCGTGGGCTGAGAGCTCCTGAAGCTGCTGCTGCTGTTGTAGATGCCTCCAAGGACTGCACTAGTGTTGTCACATCATTGGCTATGCTCTAGGTTGGATGTGACCCTGGTGTCACAGATCTCTACTGCTGACTTCCTAACTTTCTTGGACTGGAAAAAAAATGTCTCACTGTGACCTTTTATTGGCTCTGCCACTCTAGAATTCAATTTGAGGCATTAGTTTAAAGTTGTTTAGAGAAGAATGTTGGGAGAGTTCAGCTGAGTTGCTGCCTATACTCCACCATCCTGGCTCTGCTTCTCTGGGAGTTCATACTTCTTGCCTAGAGCCCTGACATACCTGAATTGCAGAACTAGAAGGGTCCAGTTCATACAACAAACAAAAATCCCTGTCCATCCACCATCTTCTTGAAGGGGAACCCATGACCTCCCAATGCAACCCAATCTACTTTGGCATAGCTCAAACTATTGAAACGGTTTTCTGAAATCAAGCTAAGAATAGAGAGACAAGAATAAAGAAAGCAGTAGAGGAACTTGACTTTAAGAGTCAAGACCTTATAGAACCAAGTTTGACTTTGGAGTTAAGACCTCATCAAACCAAAAGCTATAACATAAGGGAGTGCCAGATTGTGGGCTACTGTCAACAAAGGCTGAGGGAGCTCAGATGAGAGCAGAGGAGCCATGGAAATCATGCAGGTAAGGTACTCTATGCCCTGGCTGACTGTATTACTATTCAATTTCCCTTCCTAAGGCAGTGTGGCAAAATCCAGAAAGTCACAAGTAAAGTTAGAAGGGGAATTGGATAGTAATATGGTTAATAAGGGTGTAGGGAAATGTCATAGGAATTTGGGTGAAACACAAAGGAAGGGTATTAGATGGGGAAGTGAAGTCACTTGGGAGCCATGGGAGCAGGGCAGAGAGAAAAGAAATATGAAAAGGGTAGTGGAGGAAAAGATGAAGCCTTTCTTAGGAATGGAGCCCCAGGCTCAGCATTCACCTTTAATATTCACAAGAAGGCACAAGAGACTGGCCCTGGGGGCTAGCATAGGCTCCTCTCTCCAGGACTCTTCAAGCCTGAGGACTATGTCTCACCCTATCCTATCCCATCCAGCACCAACAGTTCAGGCCACGGATGGTACCCATCCATGAGTACCAATCTGTCCAATTTCTCTTCTAATAAGGCATTTTCCTGCCTCTCAGACAAGCAAAGTGTGGAACTGGATCCTGGCTGGGGTCCTACTTGCTCCTCAACCTTCTACCTTCAAGAAGTAGGAAATATTCCAGAGATTTTGACCAGATTTCTTCTGGGTTAAGGATTATCTTGGACCTGGGAGCAAACCTGGACCAGCCCCATGTTACTAGAAGTAGATATGTGAAAGATATAAAAGTGGGTGTGAGACAGGGATTAAATGTGTAACCTGAGGGTAACAAAACTTTTGGGGAACTGGGTGTGCCCCAAGAATGACAGAGATGTGTGACACAAGTGTATATGTGTATGTTTGACATGGGTAGATATTTGTGATGTGAGTGACTGATATTTGGAGTGTGTGTGTGTGTGTGTGTGTGTGTGTGTGTGTGTGTGTGTGTGTAAAATGGAGGTATCACAAAGGGCTGAGTCATGTGGGGTAGGGGTTGGGGGAGAGGGTCACTTGGGAACTACAAGAAGAGGATAGAGAGAAAGGACCAAAGTAGGAAGGGGTGTGTGTGTGTGTACCAGGAAGCCTCCTGTGAGGTTTGGAAGAAGCATGTGGTAAATAAATTAATCAGCAAGCATTTTTTTTAAGCCAAACTACGCGTCACTCACTGTTCAAAGTACTCAGGCTGCAAAGTCAAAAGTAAAATACTAACTGCCCCCTAGAATTTTCACTGTACTGGTAGAGATATTACACATATAACTATACACCGGAAAGATACGAGATACTGGAGGAAGGAGAGGCACTGGCACTGTGGGGGGTGTTGGAGGAGGGGAAAATATCTCAGTCAGGAATTACCGTTTGATAAGATCCGTAAAGGAAACCAAGGATATAAGAGAAACTGAGAAGGAAGTGCGCTCCAGGCATGAGGCACAGAGAGTATCACGGGCAGGACAGATCTGTAGGAGCCCCAGAGCCCCTCTGGTTGGGCAGGCGGGGTGGGCTAGACCCTGGGTAAAGGGTCTGGGCGCAATGAGCACCAGCCGTGCGGTTGTAAATTGGGATAATCCTTAAGAATGGGGGCTGGTTGTCTGGCAGGACAAAGGATAAAGGGGTGGGGAGGAATCTCTTACCTGCTGCTGACGGGCAGAAAGACAGAAAACAGGTGGGACCGACACTCCCCTCCTCTCCAGCAGCCTTGGCTCAATGGGCACTGTTTGGTTCTGTGTCCCTTCTTAGGTGGAGGGCAAAGGGGGGGGGAGGCTACCCTTAGGGAAGGGTCTCTAGGGGAACTGCAGGGGCCCTGGAGGGTGGAGGGTAGAGAAGAGCTGGAGTGAGGTGGAGCCCGAGCCGAGGGAGCTGAGCAGGCGGGACAAAGGGAGCTTGGTGTGAACACCCAAGGGACCTGGGGCGGGCTCTGGTGGGGGGGGGTTGGAGAGAGGCGGATGGCTCCCCCTGGCCAGAGGCCAGAGGCTGGGGGAAGAAAGAGGTGCCCGCGGGGTGATGCCCGGGGAGGGGGGCAGAATGGGGTTGTGGTAGAAGGAAAGTGAGGAGACGCGTAGAGGTGCGGGGGAAAAAGGAGCTAGTAGAATCGTACAGTTTCAGAGGAGGCACCAGAAATCCCTGAACCTTCTCCCTCTCTGGACTGGCCTCAGGGAGTCCTCCAGCCCAATACTGGAAAGGTGGGTTGGACTGATCTTTCCGACCGCGGCCTCTGGGTTTCCAGAGACTTAGCAAATTTCTAACCCAGCACCGGCTCCTCCATGCAAGCTCACCTCCACTCATTCCCCTCCCCACGGGATCACCACTCTGCCTCACACTGTAGTCCCACTCAAGAAATAGGGGTACCTTCTCCCTTCAGTCACATCTGGTTGCTCCCAGGCTCATGACACCACCCCCTCCAGACACTGGACACAAGGACACATGGCCCCTTCCTACCTTTCCAGTATTCCAACACTTTACACTTCCTACAGGGAGAGACCTCCCCTAGCTATACACTTTTATGATCCAGCTACCCTGGCCTCCTTGCTGCTCTTAGCACTTGACACACCATTTGACTCCATGCTTTTTCTCTGTCTGTCCCTTATGCCTTCGGTGACTTCCTTAATCTGACTTCAAGTCTTCATTTCCTTTAGGACTCAGCTCCAATTTCCCACCTGTAGGAGGCCTTTCTCTGTCCCACCCCTCTTCTTCTCTTCCCCCTTTACCTGCACCCCTTCCCTCTGAGTTACCTCCCACTTCCAATTGTATATCAGTTCTTAGAATGGGAGTTCCTTGAGCTCGGGCTCCTGTTTTTATCTTTCTTTATATACCCAAAGCTTAGAATAGTATCTGCTAAGTAAATGCTTGATAAATGTTAATTCACTCCCACTGGTCCACAGTCCACTCAAGATGCAGAGATTCATGGCTTCCAAGGAACACTCCCACCCACTAACAGCTTCCTACAGGCTTAGGGATTCCCTACCACAAGACACTGGTGCCCTCTCAGACTCATCTGCCCCAACACCAACTACCACCCTAGAGTATTCAGACACAGACTGTCTTCCTTCCTCAATTTTCTCCCCTTCTTTCCAGTCCCACCTTCTTCAGGAAGTTTTTCCTAGTCCCCCCCCAAATCTAGTGCCTTCCCTCTGTTGATTGTCTCCAATTTATCCTGTTTATAACTTATTTGAACATAGCTGTTTGCATTTTATCTTCCCATTAAATTGTGAGCTCTTCAAAGCAATAACTATTTTTTCTTTTTTACCTTTCTTTATCATCTCCAGTGATTAGCACAGCACCTATCACATAGTAGGCAGTTAATAAATGTTTATTGACTGACTTCTTCATGCCTCCTAAAGCAGGGGGATTAGGGGAGTGCATGCACAAATTGTTTTTCTCAGGCACAAAGCCAGGGACAAGAGCTTTTCTGGCTCAGACCTGGTCCCTCCTATCCTTTCCTTTCTGTAAGAATGATCAGTTGTTCACATGTATTTGGTAACTTAGCTCTGGCCAGTGTGAACTCAATGAACACAACCTGTGAGAAAAGGAAGACTTCCCTTCCCTTCCTCCCTCTCTTTTACCTGAGAATTAGGCCTTGCCAGGGTGTGTGTGTGTGTGTGTGTGTGTGTGTGTGTGTGTGTGTGTCTGTGTGTGTGTGTTGTTTCTGTTTCATCTTGTTTGTCCTCAGTTTCAGATATAGGAGGTGGTTCTCATGGGACAGAGAATTCAAGCCATGGCTTGGATCTTGGAGCCAGGATGGAGGTAAGAAGATAAATCAAGGCAACATGGAATGGAGGCTCTGTGAAACCAGAGTGCCTGGGACACAAGCCCCCTCAGGGGGTGAGGTTAGACTTGGAACTAAGACTGTGCCCTATAGAACCTGAGCCAAGCTGTGAATATGATCCTGTCCTTTCCCCAGAGACTGAGGTGGTGCAGGGGTGAGGGGAAAGGGGATGGAGGGAAAAGGATGATGGGAGAAGGATTATGCTTCTCACATTTATGGGGAATAAGTTTGTATATTTGTGATTATATCTTGAAGGAATATTTCTGTATAGAAGCTAATCTTACTGTAAGTGGTTAATGGAACTAATGATCACTCTATAATTGGGAGGAAAACCATCATTGATGGCAACTGGAGCCATTTGCAGAGAGCCTAGATAAATCCCCTATAAGGGCACAAGAGAACCCTGGGGGAGGAGTGAAAAAATAATTTACGTAGCCTTCAGGTAGTAGGGGTTAGGGTGGTCTCTGTTACATATATAAATCATCTTTGTGGAGTTGGAGATATTAGAACTGGGAGGAGCCTTAGAACACACAATGTCAGAGCTGGGAGGAGCCTTAGAACACACAATGTCAGAGCTAGGACACCATAGTCACTATGAATGCATCTGATCTCATCTGCTGTATCCCATTTCTTGTATAATAGAGAAGAAAACCAACTCCCTGGGAAGGGTGAGTCTTAAGCCCAAGGTCACACAATAAAGCCCTATACCCTCAATCCTTTTTTTTCTTTTTTTACTTCTAGCTCATGGCTCTTTTCAATGATGTTACACTGAGAAATAGTACATGAGTTTTCTCTCTGATATGACAGGTTAGTTGTTGGATATGAGATTTTAAAATAGTATATGCTTAATTAAAAAGAGATGTTGTTCAATTTTCAGAAAGTGTTCTTTCCCTCCTCAGATTTCCCTGGAGTCCTTTTCCTTTTTTCCGTGTCTCCATCCTCTCTGTCTATCAAAGGACAAGTTGCATCTACTCCCACACCTGCCCCTTGAGGACAGGGATGGTGTCACTTTTTTTTTTACTCCCTGAACCTGGCAGCCACCTTGGTATATAGTAGGAACTTAACAAATGGTGACTGAATTTGTTTTTTCCTTTGTCACTTTGGTAGGAGGAACATACTAACAACACCCCCCCCCATGCAAGTTAGACTGATTTTTTTTTCTGAGAGGTTGTAAGGCTGTCTATGGGACTTGACTGACCCAGAGTGACAAGGGTCAAGCTGTGCCTTAATTAATATAGCTTCCTGGTGACCTCTGGCCCTATTTACATGGCTTCCTGATCATCCAAGATCATAAAAAGGCCCATCCAGGTGGAAATATCTCAAGGCTGTGCCAGTCACCAAAGCCTGCCCTGCTGACCAAATCCATTTCCATAAGGAAGTAAGGGGAGCCATGTTTCCTCAAGCCAGTTGCTGGATTATGTTTGGTAATATCCTTTCTATGGTATGGCTAAATAAACCTTCTTTAGCTAATTATAGAAAGACCTATAAGTGCCTCATTTCATTCTAACATCAAGCCTAAATTAATAGAGCAGTGGCTTGAGTCAGTCCTATCCATAAGAGCTTCCACTGCCCTGTCCCTTGTGTTATATTTCTGTAAATATTCATTACAAAGTTAACCACAGAGCACAGAGAGAATGCCCTTTAAAAAAATCTCAGACCTAAGATAAGAACTAGAAGTGACTTGTAGATCATCTAATCTAATCCTTTCATTCTATAGATGAAAAACATTGAGGCCCACCCAATGAGGTTAACTAACTTGCCCAAGATTACACAATGGTAGCACTGGGTTAATTGAACCTAAAAACTCTGAACCCAGTATCCAATTCACTTTCCATTGGATTGAATCATGTTCCCAGCCTTTTATAAGGACATAGGATTATCTGTAATCGATCAACTGACAAAATTTATATCCCCTATTACTAAAGGCTTGTATCTTTATCTTTTCCTTTCTTAGGCTTTACCCTCTTGGGATGGTTTTCTGAATACTGTTTGTCTTCTGAGGGAGTTCTGGAGCTCCTTTTGCCATCATCTCTGTAAGTGAAGAGCTCAAGTAGAGCAAGGCACATCTGGGTAAACTGCACAGAGAATAAGGTCAAGTATCTTGATTTGATTACCCTGATTTTTTCCTCCCCCAACTCTGAATCTTTCCAAAGTTACCATAGACAATGAAGTAATATCAATACTAAACATTTATATACTGAATGATATAGCATCCACATTTTAAAAGAAATTGAATGAGTTATAGAAAAAAAAAGACAGCAAAACTATATTAGTGGGGAACCCCAGCTTTCCCTTCCCAGAACTAAATAAATCTAACTAAATATTAAACAAGAAAGAAGTCAAGGAGGTGAAAGAACTTTAGAAAAGTGAGATATAACAAACCTCTGGAGAAAATTGAAAGGGTCTAGAATGGAATATATCTTTTACTCAGTGGTACATGGCACCTTCACAAAAATTGACCATGTATTAGGACATAAAAACTTCACAATCAAATGCAGAAAAGTAGAAATATTAAATGAATCCTTTTCAGATCAAGATGCAATAAAAACTACATTCAATAAAAGACAGTGGAAAGATAGATTAAAAATTCATTGGAAATTAAATAATCTAATCCTAAAGAATCAGTAGGTCAAAGAACAAATCACAGAAACAATCAATAATTTTATTGAAGAGAATGACAATAATGAGACAGCACACCAAAATTTATGAGATGCAGCCAAAACAGTACTTAGGGGAAAATGTATAACTCTAAATGCTTACATCAATAAAATAGAGAAAGAGCAGATCAATAAATTAGGTATGCAACTAAAAAAAGTTAGAAAAAAACAAATTAAAAATCCTTATTAAGCATCAAATTGGAAATCTGAAAATCAAAGGAGAGATTAAGAAAATCAAAACAAGAAACTTACTGAATTAATAAGTAAAACTACAAGCTGGTTTTATTGAAAATAAAATACATAAACCATTGGTTAATTTGATTAAAAAACAAGAAAAGAAGAAAACCAAATTGTCAGTATCAAACATGAAAAGGGTGAATTAACCTTAACGAACATGAAACTAAAGCAATTATTAGGAACAACTTTCTTAATTATATGACAA